GTAAATTATTTGTTTTTATATTATCAGTTAAGTACTGGGCCTATCACCCTTCAAAGTATCCCTTGAAGTATAACAGTACAGGACAAAATAGAATCCTTCCCATATAGAGTCAGAAATTCAGATATAAACTGTTGCCAGATCCCTGGTTTCTCAAGCCCCTCCCAGTTTTGCAAAACCCAACTCATACATCTGTTTGATGAATTAATGGTTCTGATGTCTGAACTTTGATGTTGAACAATACAAGATGAACTATAGACCAACTTGATAATAACACCACCATGCCCAGAAGCCGAGAAAGTTATGAAGGAGATAGAGAGGTGGTGTTATAATAAGTAGGATTATCATGGGGTGAATGAAATTAGGACCCAAAAATACAGACGCCTCAGATTGGAACAGGAAGCTTAAGAGTGAGCTTTGGGTGAAAAGGAAAACTCCCAAACGTAATCTATATGAGAAATATACTTATTTGGAAGTATGGGGTTCTCTAAAAGTAGGACTGTTCACTCTTGGGTCACATGCTTACATGTAAATCTTGGCAGCCTTCACATGAAGGTAGTTTGCACAGGTATTCCTTTATCACAAGCACTTTCATGAAATTTATCTTTCATCTGTCAGTCTTCTTCCTGATTTAAGCACCCTAGGCCTAGCACATATTCTCAGTCCAATAGACGTGATCACTATAGAATGAACGATACAGGCAACACATTTTTCTTTATTAACGGATTAAAAAGCCTGCATGCCGTATGACGCATTTGTACTCTTGGATATTACAAATCAAAACAGAATACTGGGATCCGATGCCACCCACTAGACACAATATCCGAGGAACCAGAAAAATATATTCTGATTTCCTAATGTAATGAGTGATATTTAAATATGAGACATGTATGTTGGTGGATGGAGATACATACACAAGGGAAAGAGAATGAATGATGGGAATAGAAGGACCACAGAAAAGAAAAATGACATGAACTCCCAGGGATTTTCCCTGCAGGTCTCCATTGCCTTGAACACGGGTCATTTTAGGTACAAGACAAATCGTGGCTGTACAGGATGCCACATTTCAGGGGTTGTCATGATTCAGAGGGGAGTCTGTCTGCAAGAAGAAGTCATCCAGCCAGAAAGGTCAGACAGCCAGAAGACTTGACTTCAGGATCCCATTCCAAAAAGTATGGACCACAAGGCAGGCAGCCAGCTGGACAGAAGACAAGTTCCAAAATGAGGGAAAACTAAAGAGCTGGGGAAGACAAAATTATAACAGTGGATGGATGCATAGAAAGAAAGCGGGATCTGCTATTTCGACTCAGGGGAAGTGGGGGGCCTCTAAAAAAAAATTCACCTTGGGCACTCAACAATAAGCTGTGGGCCAGCCTTCGGTGTGACTGAGTGCTCTCAATACAATGCAGAGGAGACTTTCCAAAGGCATTCTGTATACTACAGACTTTCCAATCTCATCTAAAAAGGTATAAGGAGGAGATTGTTAGCTCAGTTAATTAGAAAAATATATGGCAATAGTGGGCCAAACCCTGCTTGTCTTACTCATGCAGATTGTCCTGGAGAAGCTAAAGGGTTGACTCATGTGACCACCACTAGTAGGATTTGGCCCATCTCCTTGGTTGTTCAGCTAATGTATGCAAGACACTTGAAACTTATACAAATCACAGTTCAAGTAGATATTAAGGGCACAGTGCTGGGGTCCATGCGGTCTCCTTTGCAGCAGCTGATGCAACTCAAAGGCTCTGCAAAACCTGCTTAAGCAGCCACCAGATAACACCCACAGCAAAGAGGCAGAGTACAGCTGGCAGCCTACTTCAAGAACTGCCTTGTTTATTGTAGCAGCCAAATGTGGGCTGAGCCCTTAAAAACATTGGGGGGAGGAAGTTAAATGATTTTGATGGTAAACTGGGCCTGCTACCAGCAAGTTCATCAGCTAACATTCTGAAGGAGAACAAACTTTATCCTTGAATATCTATAATCCTTTTAGAATCCAACTGGTGCATGGGGATTTAGCCACTCAGCTCCCAAACTCATCATCAGTGCATTTAACTCTCCAAAGAGAAGTGCGTTGTTTACCTCACAGCATCTATTCAGTGTAATGCTAACTGAGATACATATTGACAGGTTTCAGAGTAGCAGCCGTGTTAGTCTGTATCCGCAAAAAGAACAGGAGTACTTGTGGCACCTTAGAGACTAACAAATTTGTTAGTACTCCTGTTCTTTTTGAGATACATATGATAATGCTAACCGAGATACGTATGACACACAGGTAACACTGGTCTTCCTACAGAACCCGCTTGAAGCAGATGCCTACAATATCAGATGCATTTCCTTGCTACAGAAACTTTCATTCATGGATCTCCAAGTAATTTATAAACATTCCTGGGAGGTAAAGAAGGATGGTCTTCCCATTGTACAGATGCTCAGGGAGGTTTACAGCTCCACTGCATCTTATAGGCAAGCCCCCATGTTGGGGGGGGGCATGGAGCCCGACCAGTCCAGTAGACTCTCCAAGAGACATGTTAACTCACAAAGGCACAGTACATCCCACAAGTGTCCATCAAAGAAAGGAAGGTACCCACTGCTACACCCCTTGCCAATAGGGAAAGGGAAAGAGGCCAGGAAAGGACTATGGCCCTGGTTCTGTGCCCCTTTGTGGGGCTAGTGCCACTACCACTAATAGTCTCAAAGTCTTTGCCCTCAGAGGAGCACAAAATCTGCCCTCGTGGATGGCCTCTGCATGGAGTATCCTGGTGGTGGTGCATGAGGAGATAAGCTCCTAGCATCCGCCTTCTCTTGCATACGCAACACAGACAGTCACAATCTGGCCCTAAATTACTTACTCAGAAACCACACAAGTCAGTGGCTGAGCCAAGAATAGGACCCAGGAGTTCTAACTTCCAGTGCTGTAATGGTCTGATTTTTCAACACTAATGAACACCCAAGACAGCTGCAAGAGTTGGGCACATTTGAAAATTAAGCCATTTACTACTAACCACTTCCCTCAAAGCTAAGGATCCAATTCAGCACAGTAGTTAAGCATGTGCATAATGTTAAGCATATGAACTACTCACTTGCTTAACATACTTAAGAACCTTGTTGAATCACAGCCCGAGAGAGCCTATCAATAGGCTTAGGATGTACTGGATGGGAGGTGCTAGTTGATGAAATGGGCAGCTCTATGACTGGTGAGGGTAAATAGGATCTGAGACTCTTAAGAAAGTAAAATATAAAATATAACTTAATCCAAACAAATGTTTTTGTTTTATATAGTGTCCAGTTTTTTTAAAGATCCAATAAAGCTGCAGAGTTTCTGCATTTGAGTATTAAACAAATACAAAACTCATAAAACACCTTGATCCCAATGACAGCCCAAAAGAACAGGCTTCAACCATCAACCCAGAAGGAAAGAAAAGACTGACAGATTTGATAGCATCCTCACACTCCCAAGGATTGAGCACTGATGATTTTTGCAGGGGAGGCATATAATAGTGATGGGGTATAAGTTACCCTTTTATAGGAAATTCTCCAAGGCTCCCATAATTTACTTGAATGCACACAACCCAAGAGTGATTTATGCAAAATAAATTCCCTTCAGATAATAAGCACTGTTTCAAAATAGTCCATGTAACATGATTATCAGCATAAACAGAAACATGATGGTAACATCAGAGTTTGTTTCATTTTAACGGACAATACTAGTTTGCAGAATGACAGTAGAATAGTTAACTTCAGTAAGTAAGGGGGCAGCTTGGATTTTAAAAAAACTAAACAAAAGAGCACAATATATTTATACAGACGTAATAAAAATAGATAATATCAGAGGAGAAGAAATTTGAATTTTGCAAAATATTCACCATAAATAATGTAAAATGTAATGGATCATAATTCAGGATATGCTCTTAGAGAGACCTCCTAAGATCATTTCAATAAATCTGTAAGGAGTACTTCTATGTTGACATCTAATATGCTATAAACTGAGCAGTGGGCTTAAATTTAAAAGAAATCCTAGCCCTATTGAAGGCAAAGGCAAAAACTCTCATTTACTTCAATGAGGCTACAATTTCACACAATGAGTTTAGTTGCAACTTCTTATAAGCTCTGTAAAACGCTATTATCTTTTTTTTAATGAAAAAATCATTTCTAAGAATTTCTTTTCCCATGTAAACTTTGGTTAATTTCTGCAAATACTCACATTTTATATCAAAGTCATTAGCGGCAATAAGTATAGCTTTGGCTTATCCACAGAACATACACAGAGAATCATTTCTGCTTTCATTCAAAAGGATGGCTGTGTTTGTGAACATCTCTGGAATAATGCTTGTTCAATTAATTTAAACCGAATTAGAGAGATCACTGGTAAATTTGAAAACAAAAGTGCATACAGAATATTTATACAACAGCCAATGAGTCTCGACGTAGGACAAAAATATTGGTGAGCAAAATACTTAGCACGTGAATCTAAAATGCAATCTAATAAAAGACTCCAGGATGTATGAGGTGATGCACATAAACTGTTCAGTGTGCCATATTCCAAAAACAGGTCCCAAGCCTGCAAGGTGCTGAGTGCCCTCTGACGTCAATCAATTCCCAGGGATTTCAGTCAGAGGGTGTTCAGCATTTCACAGGAATTGCTCAGCTCCTCGCAGGATTGGGCCATACAGTTTTATTTAAGCGTGAGATTCTTGCAATGGTGGGCTTTCCCCTTCACTTAATTCTTTCTTCATCCTGACTCAGAAACAACAAAGATGATGCCACAATTTCGAACAGAAGGCACCATACACTCTTTTGACCCACTCTGAAAACAGAGATCACATGGAAAATTAAAATGACGTTTTAAAAACCGAATCACTAATAATGTTTCCTCACATTGAAATTAATTTAATAATTTAAGGATTCAAAAGCGCATGACGGTAAAATGCAGTCATGTCATTTCCTTGTTAGCATGAATAACCTTCCCTTGGGCAAGCTGGTCGAGATGTCATGTCGGTGAGAATTCTTACCTAGTCCTATTCTGTTGGGGCTTGTCTCTCGGCTGCATCCCTGGCTTCGAGGGATCTTGCTGCGTTTCTCTGAGGATGATGGCACTGGTGGGACTCTAGCTGTTCCGCTGGTCAGTCCGCCGTACGCACTTCCCAACAGCTTGCCAGGAGAACTAGACCGGCTGCCAGCTACAAAGGAACCAGAAGTAAGGAAGCATGATAAATCTTCTGGACAATTCAAAATAGGGATTTTAAACACTTTTAAACAGGCCTGGAATAAAGAGGGCTCCATCTAAGGCTTGGTCTACACTTACCCCCCAAGTCGAAGTAAGGTACGCAAATTCAGCTACGTGAATAACGTAGCTGAATTCGACATACCTTACTTCGAACTTACCGCGGTTCAGACGCGGTCCACACGCGGCAGGCAGGCTCCCCGTCGACTCCGTGGTACTCCTCTCGTTGAGCTGGAGTACCGCAGTTGACGGGGATCACTTCCTGGTTCGATTTATCGCGTCCAGACCAGACGCGATAAATCGAACTCGGAACTTCGATTCCCAGCCGCCGAACTAGCGCGGCAGTGTAGACCAGCCCTAAGAGACTGATCCAAAGCCTGCTGAAGTTAATGGAAGTCTTTCCATGTGCTTTGGCTCTAGGGTGACCAGACAGCAAGTGTGAAAAATCAGGACGGCGGTGGGGGGTAATAGGCACCAATAGAAGAAAATGCCCCAAATATCGGGACTGTCCCTGGTCACTCTATTTGGCTCAGGTGCTACACAATACACAACTCAACAATTGGGCTTGTATTATTCAGCCTGCCTGACCAAACCAGCTAAAGAACAAATTTTTACATAAAATAATCCAGTGGGGAAAAATTAAGAACCTCATCTCAACAACAGAATTCTAGTAGATTAAGATGATAAATGACCCAATCATATATAGCCTGTGGATACATCACCACAGCTGGTCATCACAAACCTTTACTTTGTATATGTGTTTGACTGGTTAAAATTAAATTGCTTAGCTGTAAGTTTGCAGCTGGGTAAACTATTTGTAACAAATAGCAATATTTGGCCAATTTTGCCTGTTCTTGTCTGTTTGAATTGTCCATGAACAGATCACATTTTTCTAGACTCTGATCTGTGCAAACAGACTACTGACCAAGATTTATTCACATAGAGTATTCAAGCTGTTCATTAGTTAACATTTGAAATCTGAGCTGCATTTGGCATTTCTGCCTGGACACATGGTTCCCATGGTATGTTTCTGTTGCCTGGCTGGATCTAAGAAACTCATAGAATCAAATTTTTGGCGGGAATAATCACATTTTCAAATTCAAAGTTTATTCTCCCTGATGTTTGCTTAAAGCTAAGCACAAAGGATTTTAAAAGAACAGGGTTTCGGACCCTTTTTGCTTCCTTAGCTGTATAAAGACGACCTTGAAAATATGCTGTTGCTGTGAGCTCTACTGTCAATAAACTTGTTTGCTAGAATATCCAGGAAAAGTACCTCTGAAAGGCGTGCAAACAGTCAAACAAATATAACATTTTGAACAATATTCATTGGTTATTGTTTTTTAAATATTCACCCAGCTCTAATAATTTCCATCAGAAGATTCATTCACACATAACTAATAATAGATGAGACAGAAATTGATCTGGAGTCTTTAGTCTAAACATTTACACAACTTTATTAGTTGATGGGAAAATATTTTAACCATCAGTTACATTATAAACTTACCTGCAGGGGACATTTTGCAAAGATTGACGTTCTCCAGTCATGTATCCCCCACCACTACAACATATGGCACTGGGAGTGCGCCAAAGCTCTGAACATTTGTGACTGATGTTAATCAAATGTACCTCCTCTTTTACACTAATGCAGCCCTCTGAAGGCCAAATACTCCTCCTAGTTACACTGGTGTGGTTCCACTTCAAAGGGATTGAACTGATATGGAACAATTTGGCACCTAGGGTTTAAATCACAGGATCTGCTTCGCAATTCCTACAGTAACTTCACAAAGGGGTGCCCTCATTACACAGAATGTATGTTTATCACATTAATTATCATGGAAAAGCTAAACTAATCACAATACAAATCTGACATTTTGATTTTATTTTAAGAAGATGCCTTTTCAACCTCCCACAGTGAATAAGGGGGTGGGGGACCCTAGACATTGAAATAGTTAACAACTGTGAACAAGAGAGCACATCAGAAAGAGAGTGTGAGAAACGGAAAATGTTTCTTACCACCAGCAGGATTAGCTGATCTGGATCCTTGTTTATGAGAGCAGATCAAAGGACAGGCAAAAAGTGGATTAAAAGACAGTAAGACAAGACAGAGTTCAGCATGCATTATGTTATACATAATGTGAACTGATTTATTTGCAAACATACATTGCTCCGAAGCCTCTGCAAAATACAGCGAGTTAATGTGCAGATAAGTAGTTGGGCCCAGCTTGCATACATTTTTCCATTGCCACTTAATTTCCCTAGTCTCATAAATTTCTTTGAGTGAAGCCAATACTCTACGGTGGGCCAAATTCTCCCTGATTTACAGCTGGGCTACTCTGAAAAAGGCAACAGGGTTGCCCAGCACGTGAGTCAGAGGAGAATTTGGCCCTGTATCTACATTACATTTGCACTCTAGAGTGGTTTATTTTATGCAGAGGTTGGCCTAAGAGATGGTGTTCAGATCCGGGTTAGGCTGGCGTTGGGATAAGATGCCAAACTAGAGTTAGGGATCGGGTTTAGATTTAACTGCCCTGAAGCTGCACAAGTCATTCCTGAGACATTTCAGCACCAAATATCAGGGGGTAGCCGTGTTAGTCTGTATCTACAAAAACAACAAGGAGTCTGGTGGCACCTTAAAGACTAACAGATTTATTTGGGCATAAGCTTTCGTGGGTAAAAACCTCACTTCTTCAGATGCACCAAATGGGAGAAACCTTGAGAGATCAGCTGCTCTAATAAGTTTTCCACCATCTTGAACTGAAATCCTTCTTGAGATATTTCAGCTTCATCTGAACTGGAATCAGGAAAAAGGCCATTTCCTGCTTGGACTGGACATGGATCCAAAGCCACTGTGTTGGGTTTGGATCCAGGCATCCAAATCCCAGCCTATCACCACCACAGTATGAAGGTCTTCAAGCCTTGAGGTTTTCTGTTTGAAACCATCTCCAATATAATGACTTTAAAACTGCCTGTTCCCTCTTCCCTTTAGCCCAGGGGTGGGCAAACTTTTTGGCCCGAGGGCCACATCTGGGAATAGAAATTGTATGGTGGGCCATTAATGCTCACAAAATTGGGGTTGGGGTGCAGAAGGGGGTGAAGGCTCTGGTTTGGGGGGCGGGCCCCAGGGTGGAGCCAGAAATGAGGAGATCAGGGTGCGTGAGGGGGCTCCGGGCTGGGGCAGGCGAATAGGGTGCTTGGGCTCCGGCTGGGGGTGAGGGCTCTGGGGTGGGGCTGGGCATGAGGGGTTTGGGTGCAGGCAGCTGCTCTGGGCTGGGACCAAGGGGTTTGGAGGGTGGGAGGGGGATCAGGGCTGGGGCAGGGGGTTGGCATGCAGGGAGAGGCTCAGGGTGCAGGCGCCAGGTGGCGCTCACCTCAAGCAGCTCCTGGAAGCAGCAGCCATGTACCCAATCTGGCTCCTATGCGGAGCTGCGGCCAGGTAGATCTGCGCGCTGCCCCATCTGCAGGCGCCGCCCCTGCAGCTCCCATTGGCTGCAGTTCCCGGCCAATGGGAGCTGCGGGGGCGGCACTTGGGGTGGGGGCAGCATGCAGAGCGGAGCCCCCTGGCTGCCCCTACACATAGGAGCCAGAACCGTTGCTTCCAGAAGCATCATGGAGAAGCCTCCGACCCTGCTCCCAGGCTGGAGAGCCAGAGCGGGGCAAGCCCCAGACCCTGCTCCCCAGCGGGAGCTTGAGGGCCGGCTTAAAACGGCTGGCCATAGTTTGCCCACCACTGCTCTGGCCTGACATTCAGTGAAGAAGTGACACCATGAACAGAGCAGACATTTTTCAGTGAGGCTGCAAAGCAAGACAAGTCCTCATAACAAAGAGTACTCTTCCCACCCTCCCATGCAAACTTAAGTCTATGAAGAGGCACTTCCTCTCCTTGGGAACATACTCCCCATATGCAAACCTCCTGAGCCCTAGGTCAAAATTCTCCTCTCAGACCCATACGGCAGATATTCTGCTTTCCCTTCATGGGGGAACCATGCCATGCAAGGAAACCAGAACTTCAGAGCCAGGATATGCCATGTGGATGAGAGAGCACATCTTTTTTCCTAAATCTATGCAGTAGAGATAGCAACCCCTGCCATTTTACACATTAACTTAGACAGCTCATGCTTATCACATATGGAGATGGGATAATGTAAGCAAGAGAAGCTTGGGAGAACAGGAACCCAACAGACAGTAGCAGGCTGCAGATACAAGGAAGGTGTCCCACTAGGTAGTACTTTACAGATTTAAGTTCAATATATATCATCTAGTATGATACATAGTAACAAACTTTACACGACTGGAATTTTTCAATTGTGCTGAGCAGAAAACTGGCAGTTTCTATGCTTAAAAATTCAAATCTCAGGCCCTATTCTTTAACGACGACTTGGACTGTGAGCTCTTTGGGGCTGACCGTCTTTCTGTGATATGTGCATGCAGTGCCTAGCACAATGCGGCCCCATTCTTGGCTGGGGTCATGCCACAATACAAATAAGAGATAATATTAATAAATATAGCTCCTGCCCCTCTCTTAAAAGAAAGGCTTCTTACGCTGGGACTGTGAAACTACTTTAGCACGGCTGCGGCCTCGGGTATCGGCAGGCGTTGAGGTAACACTTGTGGCACTTCCAGAGCTTTGCCTCCTCGTACGGATCCGACCTGGGGAACGCAAAGAAAAGTGGAATGTTAGCAGCTTGGTTCCAAGGGGAAACTTTGCTGTGGCTTCTAACTTGCTGTCTGTTCTATACTGAATTTTTTTTTTTGCAACAGTAACAATGATAAGAAGTGAATTCCCTGGAATGGCACTTGCAGTTTAAAACGCAATTAAAATGCTTTTTAACAAGAAGGAACAAAGTTTCTAATATGGGCATAAGAGGTGCACCCAGAAAATCTCACGTTTAGGCACCGATGCTTTCATAACCCTATCTACACTTGCAAACTGGCATGCGTCAGTAACAGATTCTGCTGACACCACCTGGCCATGTGTATTTGTCCCAGGTGTGCCCATTATGCTCATGTTGGAAACGTCATCTCTAAGAGTTACCCTTGGTGCATATAAATTCAACATATTTACCCCCCAAGTTAGTGCAGCTTTAATTGTAATGGAGAGTCCCATGCGACGCAATTAACACTGTGAGAGAAATCCTGTGCCTGCCCTTTATTTTTTTAAGCAAAGAATTCGTATAAAGTTTCTTGTTCAGAGGGCTTTTATTTCTCCCTCACAGAAATTTTAGTTGGAAAAGACCCATTAGCTTGTTCAGTGCATGTCCCTGCTTGATCAGGGCTGTTCCCGACAGTATGTTCTTTCCAATGCTTGGACACAATTATGAGTCTTTAGTTGCTGGAAAAGGAACGATGATTAAGACCAACAAAAAGAAAACCTCTGTCAGTCCTTTTCAACACCTCAGTTCTCGGCCAAACTTGAAACAGTCCTGGGCTTGATGCCAGTACCAACACTGCATTCAGAGAACAAGTTCAAGTTTCAGGCATGATAATCAGAGGAAATAAAGAGACATGTAAAAGATTACACATTCTGGACAATGTCATCCACTGATCACATAAATCTGTCTGCACTGTTGTTGTTACAGAACATTTACACAGCACCATAAATGTAACTGGTGCATTACAAACACAGATAGATGCACATTTCCTGCCCTGAAGACCTCACACTTCCTATGAGACAAGACAAATGCACACAGGACAAGACAGACGTCGGCAGTTTGGGATTGACTGAACAGATTGACAGCTGTGTTTTTTCTGTCAGAACTCTCACAACACTGGTAACATGGCTAGAAAACACGTCTGATAAACCTGTCACATTGTATTTCTAACAGGAAACTTCAATTTCAGAGGAAAAACAAACATAAGAACGGGTTCTCATTTGCAGATGAGAAGTGAGAAACATGGGCTGAAGCTGAACTTGGGACACTGAAAATACATGTGTTCTATTTTAAAAACATTAGCTAAGAAGGCTTCGGAATTTATAGAGATTCTCCCATTGAAAAAAATATTTCCAGCCTTGGCATAGTAGAAATCCTGGGCCAGATTCTCTACAGCATTGCAGCCCCTAAGCACTGCTCAGGAAAAGGGGCCAATATCCAATCACCACTACCCAGAAGAGAGTTCCCTTTGGTGGGAACTGTCTGGTGGGTGTAAATATGGTGATCCAGGTCTGTATCTGCTGCCTTCCTCCCCATCTAGCATAGGAGGGGATGTGTCAGCAGGGAGTAGGGGACATGGCAGAATGCTGCTGTGCTATCCCTAACCTGGTGTAAATTCCATTAAAGAGCGAATGTCAGTGGTGAAACTTACAGCTGCCTGGCAGCAGCTTGGAGAATCACATGGCTGGGACTAGCCCCAGCTCCCTGTCACTTCCTCTGCTCCCAGCAGAGCTCCAGCAGAAGAGAATAGCTAGCTCCATATGTTCCCTGCCTCAATGTGGCAAATTCTACGCGGACTTCCATCCCACTGATCTCGGTGGGTTTGCACAATTTGTGCAGAATTTGGCACGCAGGCTGTGCTCTATTTCTAGACGTCCATGGCGGCAGCAGTACTATGTGTGAAGAAAAAAAAAGAAGTGTGGGTGACACAGGCCCATATCGTACCTTAGGAGGTGGCAACTCTATACAAGAGTTTAGTCTGTTCTATCTTATCCTCCAAACTTTTCAAGATCCTGATGGAAAGGACTGAGCATTGTACAAAGTACCAGATGGCAAATGTGATGAAATTCAAAGTCTAAACTAATGGATTTCATGGGGAAATATCATCAGTAACCTGTATGTGCTAGAGGTCAGCCTGCCCTGACAGCATGGATAAGATGGGAGAAGTCTGAAATTTTCCTTTTGCGCGCACTCCCCCCCCTTTTTTCGGTTTGAGGTCCCAGAACTTTTCTGTTCCTCCTGTGTCTGATAAAGTGAGAAATGGATTTCTTAAACAGCAGAAGGAAATTGGAACTAATTGTAATAAACAATTGTTCTCCATTTATAAAACACACGGCTAAACTCCAAGACATCAAGATCTTCCTGCAGAGGAACCAAGACATCATTTTTCTTTTTAAATGCCAGCCCCGTTAAGTAGGAGGGAAAGAGTCAGAGGAACAGAACACAAATGTCAAAATAAATCAATGCATGCTTGTTTCCAGTCATGCTAATAAAGCATTCAGGCCCTATCCAGTGCCTTTTGAAGTTAATGGAAAGACTTCCATTGACTTCCCTGGGCTTTGAATCAGGGCTTCGAAGTAAAAGTCTGCCTTCTGTTTTGCTTGGCAGATCTCAAAACTGATACCTGGTCTTTCTACCATGCACAAAATTCTTCCTGAATTCAATGGGGGTTCCTCACATGTTGGGGGAGAGATATCAGCACTGAGAATGGCCACCTTGCTCTGAGAGAAGAGTTTTATCCTTATTTCAGTAACAGGATTTAAATTTTCTCATCCTTTTAAACAGGCACTGTATTTTTAACTGAGTATGTAACTGGAACTGAAAGACAAGCAGATGTCCCACCACCATGCAAGTGAGATGGGGGTTACCTAATCCACAAATGTATGGCATTCTCCCCATTTCCATATGCTTGCCTTACATGGTGCAGGCCCAGCAACTGAAGAGAACTAAATTAATTTCAAGCATTGCAGAGTTGTGACTCCCAGTATAACATGATGCTATCCCATCTTTGTTCCATGATACTGTGCCATTATATGAAAGCACTGAAAACTCACCACCCATTGATACACAATGATGATATAAGGGTGGATATATCATAATGTTATGATAATAGGTCACTCTGGGATTACTTTGTCCCAGACCATACACAAATAAAGGAAACAACTGAAGGGGCAAATTCTCTCAATAACCTTAGGGCCAAATTCTTCCCTCGGTTACAGGGAGAAAATGGCCTTTAATGTCTCTAAAAAACATTTCTATGGAAGCATGTGAAATGGCAGAAAACTTAACACAGAGGTTGCCCAGTGATGGCTTGTGCCCTTCTGGAATAATGAGTTCAGCAAAATTCAAACATCTGAAAACTGGGAAATACAGAGTGAAGTTAAAGACTCACGCAACCTTAACTCTGGAGCTGACAATGGTCCCTGGGAATGATCTCCATGCACTCTAGCTGTATTCACTGTGTTATGTATCATTGCATTAAATGGTGGAGGAAGAAGTTGGAGCAGCTTGGAAGAGCTGTGCTTGTGACATGAGACAATCTGGCTCTGAGTCCCCCGCAGGTGATTATCAAAAGAAAGAGGTACCAGTGTGCCTTGCGGTTCCAGTCTGCATCATTTCAATACAGAATTGTGTAGGTGGTGTCAGTAGCAGGACACTTGGGGCTTCCTGCCATGCATGTTGTCAGTAGTGAGGTGGGATATGAGAGCAGTCTGTGGATTTAATGATGGGTATGGGAAAGTACAGGTTTAGGTGCTATTCTGTGAGCTAGTGTGAAGGGGTTGGGAAAGGGTATGAAGCAGTGGTTACATTTTACCAGGGTGGTATTCTGTCTGGGGAGCAGGCTGAGCGTTCGAGCACAAGGCAAGTGCGGGTAGCACCTGTCCATTAGTGAAAAGGCCAAGTGGGAGTGTGCATGTTAGCGGGGCACCACCCAAAGAGAGCAGACTGAAGTTTGTGGGGGCATTTCCCTTAACTCTACTTCCTGGTTTTCAGATGTGTGAGTTGAAGAGGAGCAGGGTCCCCAAGATCCCAGAAAGCACAGTGGGCAGAGACAGGGGTTCAGAGCACTGCAGAGGGGTAGGGCTCCCCCAGATCCCAGCATACACACGGAAGGGGAGAATTCAGGGCTAGCAAACCCCTCCACTCCTAAACCCCCATCTTCCTCTGCTACCTCTCACATTCTCCAACCCCTCATGTCTTCTCCTCCCCGAATCCCTACTCTCTTCCCCTTTACCTAAGCCCTCCAACCCCTTCCCTCCCCTTCCACCCATTTCCATTTATCCCCCCCACAATAGCCCCATCCTTTGCTGCAGACCCAGACCCATCTTCCTCTACTACCACCTACCCTTGCACCCCTAACCACCCCTTCCCTCAGTCAGCATTCACGTGTGCAATTTATTTTCTTTTCAAAAAAGTTTCAGCATATTCTGCTGTACTGAATATTCTGTACTTCTGAATATTCTGCTGTACTCAGATTACATTTCTGAAAAATGAAATAAAATAATAATAAACTAACTAACTAACAAAACAAACCCTTCATGTGTCATTATATAATGCCTGCATCTGTAATTTTCACTCCATGCATCTGAAGAAGTGAGGTTTTTTACCCACAAAAGCTTATGCCCAAATAAATCTGTTAGTCTTTAAGGTGCCACCGGACTCCTTGTTGTTTTTGTAAAACAAACCCAAACACTCTGACATAGGCAGATTTTCCTCTACAGTTTACACTTCATTCTCAGATTTCTGCCCAGGGTGCATTTCAGAATTCAAACTTGCTAGAATCTGTGAATTTAATAAAATGCAGTTTTTTTCCCCTGGGGCTGTTTCGCGGGAACTCCTTGCTCAAATGACCTCACATTTGAATCACTAACCCCAGACTACACTCCCATGAGGCATAGCAAATTTCAAGAACCCACGTAAGGGACATCAGAGTACTAAGGAGTCCTCCTTTTGGGCTTCCCATCCTTAGCTAGAACAGAGCTGGGGCTCCATTATAAT